CAACAAAGCAATGCTCAATGTACAATGTGCAACGTATCAAGCTTCTTCCAACCTTACCGTCCTGCTGTGCACAACCGAACAAATTCTTCTGGGAACAACTTTTGAAGCACGCCAGACAACTCTGCATCCAGGAAAGCAATGATGTTCCTGGCCTTTGGTGAAAGGTTGAAAAGGAACAGCTGTGCCGCGACTTCCTGGATGTAAAACTCTAAAGTCCTCAACCTTGCCCAACGCCCTTTCCATTGTATCAAGGCCAAATTGGCGGACTGAAGATACTCATGCGTGGCTCCTGACCCTCGGAGGGTCCCCGGCGTTGCACCTCGCACACTCTGCTTTCGAGGAATCTCAAGAACATCAAGAAGGCAATTCCATTGCCTCCTGAAGACAGCTGTAGATGCGCCAAACAAAGGCGTGTCCAGAGGTTTGTCTCTAAACAAAGCTCCTGCCAAAAAGATCAGCGATGGATCGTCCACCCTAACGTGTTGACGACGGGCGAAACGAGCTGTCTTCGGGTTCTTTATGAAGATGTACAAAGCAGTCTGTTCTAACATCATTGCGTCTTCTGGAAAGACCAGGTCGCGCCTGGTCAGACGCAAGAACTCATTCGGGTGAAGCATTCCTCCGAATCCAAGTGCAACCACTCCAGCAAACTGGCGCCACTGCCAGAGAAGAGCAAGACACAAAATGGCCCGGAGGACCGGCGCGCTCAACACTGCCCGGCACTGCCCGGGCTCCTCCATCTGCCATTTCAAGTCCACCTGCCACGCACCAGACAACATACGCCGATATTCGGGTTTCAGTTGCTGTATAGCGGTGATGGTGTAGACGAGCATATATCTAGGTTTCCCTTCCCTGAACAATGCAAGACCGTAAGCACGGAGACCAAGATTGCACAACTCGGCGGATTGCAAGACATATTCTAGGTTTAACTGTGCGTTCTCAATCAACCATGTATTGAACTGTAACAACGACTTTCGCATCCTCTGAGCTGTGGCTTGAGAGAGACCTCCCATCATGTCCAGCTCCCCTCGCGGGGTGTACTCCGGAACACGAGCGTTCATCGACTGTCGCGGACCAGGATGACGTTCAACGTCGCCAGCGATCAACGACAACAATCGAAACCACCTCCCAATAGGGCGATGCCAAGTGGCTGCCGTCAGCATGGTGTCAAAGGGGCTGAGGTTTCCCTTTCGGAGCTCTCGCAACCAAAAAGGCTCTTCACGGGAAGGGCCTGGGGCATCGGTGCCCCGAGACGGACCATCGGCCCTATTCCAACTTGACCTGCAGTGAAGTGACCCCGGATAAAGGCCGCTCCCCAGCGCTCATGAAGTAGGTCACAAGCTCCTCAAGGTGCTCCAACATCACCAGCTGGTGCTGATTCATAGGTGCTCCCACTCTAGCATGTGCGGGTGGTCGTGCAGCGTGGCCTAAAGAAAGCCAGTTGAGCCCAATCACCAACGTCTGCAGGGCGAAAGCTTTGGCACGCAAGAAACGATGTCTCTTCCTGCGTCGTGGGGAAAGTGAGCTGAGCCTGGTCCAACATCCCCATCTCGGGGGGGGACAAGGCCACGTATCAGACCGACTTTTCATCGGCCCGTCATCGGCGCGGAGTGGTTCAAGGCTGAGGCGAGCAAACGATGCCAGTCCTCCTCTTGAAGTGGCCACATGCAAAGCGGCCAGAAAAAACTCTATGCATTGAATTGACTCTGGCAGACCGCCTCCAGCCGTCGGAGGGGTCAAAGCAGGGAACGGCACATCATCCCGTTCGCCGCGGCCAGAGCGGCTCATAGGGTGCTCCTTTTCACTTCTTGCCTCTGCCTTGGAGCCCCGGCTTGACCGACCCACCCTCCGACCGAAGGAAGCGGTAGGAGGACAACTCCCCCGCTCTGGCATAGAAGAACTCGGCAAAAGGGTGGGCTGGCTAGCCAGATCTCCTGAGGGCATGGCTTGAGGCTTCATCCTGCCGAGGATGTCCCTGCATCCTCCTTGCCCTTCTTCTTGGGCTTCCACTTCTTTCTTGGAGCTGCTTCGTCGGCACTTTCTTTGACCTGAGGAGGGATGGAGCTTGTTGTGTTCGCAGCCTTGATCTTTCCTTCCAAAAAATCTAGTTCCCTCATGTATGCCACGTTGGCACTGATCCAGGAAGGTCGGGCTAGTCGAGTGAACGGACTCATCGACTGCCGATGCCTGTTCCTTTGTACCACACTGAAGGCCGGTTCCGGCAGCGAAGTCAGCAGCCCGGCCAGAGTGGTGCGGCCAAAATCGATGGCCGACTGGTCGACGAACACCAGTCCGCGGCTGCAGAACCCGAGCATCTGTCTGTTCCCGGACCGGAAGGCCACTTCCCAGCCGCTGGCAAACATATAGGCCATCTGCACGAGCAACCGTTGGTCTCCAAGAGGGGATCGCTTCTCGATGAAGTCTCGCATCAAGCCAGGGTGGACATTGAGAGGATCGACACCCAGCTCCTGCGCAGCGTTCTGCAGCACGACCTCGCCAACTCGCTCGAGGTCCGAGGCCACCTTGATGTAGGCCTCCCTGGCTAGACACCCTTTGATGCCCCCTCCTCCAGTCGAAGATTCCGACCCCCCGGCGCCGGACAGCGCCTGATTGATGGGATCGCTGGACTTCAGCTGACTCTGCTTTGCCAGTAGGTTCATCTGCTTCATCTGAAGCAAAAGCAGCCGCTGCATAGGATCTACCAGACCAGCCTCCAACTCCTTGATGCCCTCGTCCAGTTCCGTCTGTTCGGTGGCCTCTAATCCCTCCTCTTGCTGGAGAGCCTCCAAGATCTGTTCCGGGCGACTTTCTCGCCACTGCTTCTCGTGAGCCCCCAACCTCATTGGCGCAGCCGCTGCGAGCTGTTGAAGCCGCTCTCGCGGGTCGAAGCCTGCAGGGATCTGGTAGGGCGCACTGTTGAACAGAACTCCAGTTGGACGCGGAGGAGGCGGAGGCTGTTGTTGAAGAGGAGCTCTCTGCACTCCGGAGTTGTGGACGCCAGAAGTGGGATGACTTTCCAGCTCTGCCAACCTGCGACGGAGCATCTCCACCTCGCTCTCTGCAGCTTGGCCGCCAACAGGCGACGGCACATAGGCTTCGTCGGGGATCATCTCTTCTGGCTCCTCGGCGGTGAGATACTCGGCAGCGGTCTCGCTGTCCATCACCTCGTTGATCCAGGAGATTGCAGCCTCTTCTGCCGACTGCCGGCATGGACGACAAGCTTGCCCCTCAAAGGTGAAGCGGACCACCTCGTAGAGACTTTGGTTCCTCAGAGCATGAGCCCGCATGAACAGGTTCGAATGGCTCCAAACACAGTCTACCAGAAGACAAGCCCCCAGGCCCAGCAAACGTCCACGAGGCGTTTCCATATCGACTTCGACCGGGTGCAGAACGGCTGCTTCTACCCCCTCGTCGGCACCAAGCTCCCTCAGGTACTCGGCAACCTCGACTTCGTCGGGAAGGCAGACCATGAACCCGCCAGCCCGATGCTTGACCAGATGTCCCAACACTCTCACACCTCTGCCATCGGATCTCGGGGGCAAAATCAAAAAGACTCCCAGCAGGGCGCCAGCCGCGCCAGGGCCCCCAAACAGAGAGCGAAGGGCATCCTCGCTTAGGCCTGCCACTGCAGAAGCGGAGGCCATCCTGTCTCAGCACCGATGCAGAAAGCCTCCGCCTCGGCTTGCGAGGAAAAGGCGTGGCTGATCACCGATGGGTGGAACCTGGATGAGGCACCACGCACTGCAGACAGGTAGAGCTCGTACTTGTCCGTCCAACCCGGCGATGAGCCAGGAGCAGCACGAAGCACCACGTATACCCTGTTTGCCAGGGGGATGTCGGGCCGAGTGACCCTTGGCACTGGTTGACCTCGAAGTTGCAGCCCTGCCAAAACTCCAAGCCTCAGTGCCCTGGCCAATCGTGCCAACGGAGTCCAGCCTCCGGAGGTGGCACGCAACCTGCTCTCCAAATACTGAACTACGCTGAAGTCCAAGCTCTCCAGGGCAGCGGGTGTGTCAGCGGCGATCACTGCCGCCTCCCAACTCGCTGAGCGACTCCTGCGAAGCCTCTGTGGAACCTGCTCGAGGGACTCCTCCGTCTCGTGAGGAGCTCCGGTGGCCACTGAAGGAGCTGAGGCTGGCTTCGTCCGACGGCTCGGCACTGTCGCGAGAGGGGCTGTTCCTCGAAACTCGAATGGTCAGCCCGCCCAAAGAAACAGTCACCTCGTCGAGGGTCTCCTCCAAGCTCATGCACGCTCCTCGCGGTATTGCGAGAAGCGTCTGCGCAGCTGCAGGTGTTCAGACTGAGCCGCCACTCCAGGCGCAGGAACCACCGAGGCCAACGAGGCGCTGGCCACCACGAGCAACCCCCTTCTCAGGCCGGGGGATACCACCAGGAGAGTGCCACAGCTGCCCACACAAAGACCTACCAAGAAAAGGCAAAGGCCGATCAAGGCCAGAAGCGCCCAAGAGGGACCAGCGCAGGTCTGTCCACCGCCCAGGACAGGTGCATCCGCTGCGAGCCAAGATTCTTGAGCGGTTCATTCGCTCATGCCGGCAAGTGATAAAGAACATATATATATTAAATTATCAATATGTATGTTTAATGGGTATATGTTTTCATATATATATATATGTTATAGGTAGAATGTGTGTTTGTAGGGGGTATCTATTGATGATATCATATATTGCACTCAGCAGGCATCTTTTTAGGCCAGCAATCCGAAGGTTTTA